ATAATCTCAAGAACTGAACTTGCAAGATGCTATATGTTGTTTCATTCTATCAGCAAACCATAACTATGCCTTCTTGAGAACACACTTGCACTCATTACGAGCAAATGGACATATGTTGCAATCAGATGTGTTGCTCTGGTACGGTTGGAAAAATCGATTCCTGTGAACTGTAGCAGCTGAGTATGCCGGAGATGAATGTGGTTTAACATGGTATTTCCTTGCTGGAATGCCAGCTTTCACTCAGGAGACCTCAGACACACATTTATGAACAGAATGATTAAAAACTGCATTCCAGGGGACATCACGAAGGAAATCATGGAATGAGTCCCAATCTGCTTTGACTTGTTGATAACAGAAAGATATTCTGTTGGTAGGAGGTTCTTGGCTTAGTAGGGGAGCAGAAAAAGATGTTTACAGATACTACTGCATGATCAGAGTTGCCAAGACAGCAGAGCTGCATAGTACGAGTCTGGAATGAAGGTAAAAATGAGATCTAGAAGAGAATTGTGCCCATTATGGTTACTTTAGGGAAGTCCACCACTTGTATGAGTGATTGAAAAGTTAAGGGTTTAGATGCCAGTGGGGTCAGTGACAGTGTTTAAGCCATCTGGCATGGTGGGCATTAAAGTTACCAAATATGTTTGCAAACCGGTGTAGGGAGATGGCCTTGTCTATATTATCAGAAATACTATCTAACATGCAAATCATGAGAGGAAGGGGAATGATAGAGAAAGAAGAGATAGCTAAGTGAGAGACACAGACACACATGTAAGAGTTGTGTGATGATTCAATAGAGAGTGCTCTAGCCAGCAGGAGATGTTCATGGACATAAACTCCAAGGCCATGTATGTGGACTTTAGAGTCCTTTCAATGGAGAGGAAGATATCCAGAAATTGAGAAATCAGAGGAGGGGATTGAAGACTTAAGATTAGGGATGTCTGGAGACTTTTCAATTAGGAACAATTCCACACTGCAGAAGGAAGGTGAAGGACCTCTTTTCTTTATCAACCTACTTTTCTTTTGGCTTCTATCAAAGGAATTTGAGTTCTTCCCATATATGAAGAACAACCAGTCAGTGACAAATGAGTGTCACTTGAGAGATAGATATATATATATATATATATATATATATATATATATATATATATATATATGCACTCACACACACACACACATATGAACAATTCGATGAAGTGAATTAAAATGCAAATTTTAGTTTTTTAAGTTAGTATAAATTCAAATATCCACTTTGTATGGAAACTGTCAGGCCAAATTTCCCCACTCAGGATGGACTTCCATTAAAATGTAATATTGAGAATTAACACTAAATAATATACTAATACCTTATGCAGGCATGCAGATACATACATACATATATATGAATGATACAATATGGTAATCTGTATGGATTATTCCAGGAGGATATAGATCCAGTAAGTTCTATTTCAAAAAAAAATTTTGAAAACTTTCTGAACCATACACGTTTTTAATATTATTTACAGAGAATTTGTTGAATGATATACAGGGGGTTAACCTTGATCTAACTTTTCATTAGTTATAAAGTACATTCATATCCTGCTAAATCTTAGGATATAAATGTTCAGGATTCTAGGTATATAACCTTTATAAATAAGTTTTCTCCGAATACAAGTAATACTCATTTAATTCAAATCTTTTAGGTATTTTAATTTAAATTTCTTGGTTAATTATCTAACGAGCTTATGAAAATTTTTCGCTAATTTAGAAATCTTTAAAAATGTTTTCTTTTAACATTATTTACAAGTAATTTGTTGAATGAAATATGTTAGCATTGGAATTTTGTCCGTTGAGAGAACAAGACGGGATTGTTTCCAATTCACACTGAACTAACTGCACTTTATGCCCTTTTCCCTTCCTCAAATGACACACTGATGTTAAATCTGAGGTTAGTATATCAAAATAGGTCACTATTCTGTCTTTTCCCACTCTCTAAATAAGGTAGCAATATCTCTTGATTTTAACCCGGAGTATTTTTTTCCATTTCATTTGTGATTTGTTTGTAGGTCTTGAAGATTGAGAGCTGTTTTTTTTTTTTTTACCTCTCATGAAATGAAAATTTATTACCTATGGTATTTTAAGTGTTTGATATTTTTTAATTATATACATGCACAAACTGAGATTAAGATAAATTAAAATAATGAAGAAAGGAAAGAGAAGACTAAAATAGGATGGTTAGAACAATTATACTCCCCGCCCCATAAAAAAACAAAAACAAATGGACAACAAAGAACAAGTTAAATACCAGAAAATTGCAGTAAATAATAAGTGTTCATTTCAACAATACCAATATACAATTAGGACAGGTGAAGTCAACTGGCAGGTGTTTTGAATGAATATCAGATCAAGTAACATTTAAACAGGGGCAAGATATATTTAACTAAGGCCGAATAATGCTTGGATTTCCAAATTCTATCCATCCTTTTTTTTTTTTTTTTTTAAACTGGTTTAGATTTCTACATTTTTAAATATTTGTGGTAAATATCCACTTTATTGGGAAACCATCAAGCCAAATGTTATCACTCATTTTTCCACTCAGGATGGACTCCCATTAAAATGTAATATTGAGAAATAACACTAAATAATGTTCTAGCACCATATGCAAGCATGCCTATATATATATATATATATATATATATATATATATGCGCACACACAGGCAAGTATTAAGATAAAATGTCAACTGGAAAATGATGAGACCTTGCTGTTAAAGTACTGTGCTTAAATTCTTAAAGTCTAGGTAGCATAGAGGGAAGTTCATCCGAACAATTACCATGAAAGTATTTAAAAAACAAGAGACACAGGGAAGCTATATTATGGTAGTGGGGAAAGGGACTGAAGCCGAGATGCCAGGTCAGATTATTTGAATTTTATCAAGAATATGTAAATATCTAGCAGGAGCACATGACCAGATGTGGCAACAATATTCAAAGCCAAGACAAATTATAAATATGTAAGATAGATTTTGGAAAATTGTCTAGCATGACACCAGGAACCAAATTTCCTAGCAGAAGACCTCGCAAATGATTCAATAGCAGAAAACGCTAGTCCGAGAAGACACAATGAGTGAGTCTCTTGTCCATGGTGCTTCAACAATGATTTTAACTTTGGGAAAAACCAAAAGTTGCATGGAGCCAAATTGGAGTATTAGTAGTAGTAGTAGGAGGTGGAGGAGGACCTGTGTGTGTGGATATGTTTTGCTGAAAATTCTTCATCAGAGAGAAAAAAAAATTTTCTTGTTCAGTAACACAGTATGCAAGCTTACTGCTGAGTAACCCCACAGGAGTGTTTTTTCATGCTTGCACATCAAGGCCACCTACTTCTCAATTGGTTGCTGAGTTTTATCAAGGTTTATTCAAAGTATATTCTGGACTGGCTCTGTAGAAATAATACAAGTTAATGAATTCTTCTGCATAAAAAAACAAACCATTAAACCCCTTATCTTAAGTTCACTATTTACATTATTCGGACTATTGTCCTCATCTTTGTTGTCATGTTTATCACAACATTTCGGGCGTTGTATGCTCAGGCCTTCTTCACCTGGTTAAGGCAGTGGAGAATTTTGAGAGGGGAATTAATAGATAACTGACATCCATTAGACATGGCATGTGGAACTAGAACAGTCTACCCCAGTGAGTGAAATAAAGGGTTCAGTTCGACATTCCAACCCCCTGAAGAAGGTTGGAGCGTAGAACGGCCGAAACATTGTGATAAACATGGCGACAAAGATGAGGACAATAGTCCGAATAATGTAAATAGTGTACATAATACCTCATCCCTTTATCTTAAGTTATTTAAAAAATGAGCACTCATAAATATATTATGGATCATAATTAACTTAGAATCTGAATATATATATATATATATATATATATATATATATATATATATATTTTTTTTTTTTTTTTTCAAAGCGTTTCACCCCAAGCAAGGCGGGAAGCCACTAGGATGCAAAGGGTTACAGAAAATTTAGAACAAGATCAAATAGGAGTGATAGAAGAAAGGATGAGGAGGAGGGTAGTGGCTAGATCAAGGCAACTGGAGATGTCGATCGACATTACATTTGAATAGCTGGAGATTATAGCACTCAGGAAAACTAGAATAGGGAAGGGAGTTCCACAGGCAAGAGGTGTGAGACATGAAGCTACTGGAGTAGAAGAGATGGCTACATTTAGGAGTTTCGACAGTGAAGGGGTGAGAGTGGGATGCCAGCCTCGTCGGGCGCTTGAACTCATGAAGTCTGGGAACCAGCGAATGCAGCTCCTCAGAGCAATTGCCATGAAAGTATTTGTAAAAGAGACAGAGAGAGGCAACGGCGTGTCTGTGAGAAAGTGTCTGTAGACACACACACGCACATACATATATAATTCACTAAGGCAAAAATGTTTAGAAAGTGCTTTAATCGCTCTTAAATGTTTCACTATTCCTGACAGATCCTCTGTTATCACAATGTGGAAAGAGAGTGAATCTAAATGGAATTGGCTAGATTATATACACAAGAAATGAAAAAAAAATGCAAGGGCTTTTGATGCAATTATCGATCACTGAAGTGAGCGCTTGGAAGGGATTCGAGAATTACTCCTCGATATGTCTCCGTCAACCAAAATGAGCGTGCACGACGGGAAATGCGGACGGCAAATGACAATTTATCGACTAGCATGGGACCAAACAAAAGCAACGTACAACACCGACCACAACAATGACTACACGACAACTTCAACTTTCAAGACATGAGAAAAAAAAAAATGTTTCCAATTTAAAGTTCCCGGCATCTCTCATTTGTGCACATGTGTGATCGCATCAGTGTAAACAAAGCTAATCAAATTTTGGTATTAAAAAATATTTCAGCCCACTAATTAAAAAACGTATTAAACAGATGCACATTAATTAAGGGATTCTGTACAATACAACATGTATTGATGTGTTTTGCTTTATCTCTTATCCTTTTTATTTATTTATTTCAGGTTTGTTATCTGTCAGTTCTGATGTGGTGAGGCCGTTCATTATGGGATGTGAAACAAAGCATTCAAAGCTAGTGCAGATTGGTTTATCTTCTGTCCAGAAACTTATTTCTCATGAAGTTATTTCATTGGTAAGTTGCAATGCTGATTGTCTGCACACAAGTTTTCCCCACCTCAAACCTTGCATGCATGAGGGGCGGTGCTCAAAATACAGTTTTCTTTTCAGTTTGTGAGCGTAAAAAAAGAATATCCATTTTAGTTTTGATGAGCCCTAAAAAAAATTTTTTTTTAGTAATCCTTGTGGAAATCCAGGTAAGAGAACACCTGAATTGGCAAAATGTTCATAGATAAGGACTGTCTTAGTTGACAGAGCAGTTTTTATTTGTAGTCCACAGCTGATTTTTTTATATATATATATATATACAATGGTCATCTTTTTTCAGCTGTTTTGGTTAATCATGGTCAACATCGGAAATAAGCAGTTTCTAAGTTTTACTTAATAATTGTCCCAAAATACACTGCAGAATTACATAAGTGAAATGATGGTGCTATCAAATTTATAAGGAAAGAAAAAAAAAAAAAAAAAAAAGTTTTTAAAATCAATGCTAATCTATCCATCACATAACGTTTTTTTGATTATTTATTGTTGTAATCAATGAACAAATTAAAACATTTTTTGATAATCCAAACTTGTGCAGTGGAACCACCTCTTAATTGCTGGTGTTCCCAGGTCCACCCTCATCCGGGGTGGTAGCACCTGTTAGGGTTCCAGCTATGGGCAAATAGTTAACTATTACCAGCAATACATTTATGAAAAAAAAAAAATATTACCAGAAATAGATTTTTGACAAAACAAAATATTACCGGCAATAAAAAAAATTTTGTCAACATTAAATAATCCATTCAGGTTGATATGCCATAAACTAAACCAAACTTGCACATTGTCATGGCTCAGTGATACTAATGTGTGCAACAGGCATTGTTGGGACTTGGTGATACTAACATGTGTGACAGGCATTGTTGGGACTGTGATCCTAATGGACGTTGCTGAGGCTCGGTGAGCTGGGCATCGGTGAACCTAACATGTGTGTCGGGTGTCACTGGGGCTCAGTGATCCTAACATGTGCGCTGGGCAATACCAGGCATCGCCAGGGCTCAGTCATCCTAACGTGCGTGCTGAGCGGCGCCAGGGCTTGGTCATCCTAATGTGTGCAATGGGCATTGTCAGGAATAATGTGAAATAACTCTTTAGATAATTATCCAAAACAAATTTTATATTTAATGTCTAAACAGAAATACTTTTAGTTCTCTTTAATATATGATAATATTAATAATAACATTCATAGATAATTTTTAGCTGTGTTGTAGTTGAATCTGATATACCATAATTCCCCATGCATAATACGCCTTCATTCATAATATACATCCCTAAAATGGTGCTGAAATTGTGGGAAAATGCTTCTACTCACACATAATACGCACCCCTTATTTGGTAATCAAACCCTATAAATTGTACCTCGTGAATTTCATTATGGCCAGCATTTCCTACTCTTATTCAAGCTGTAATTGAAAATATTTATCAAAATTTCTGATCATCACAATTCTAAAAGGAAACGGAAATATCTATGTTGTGCCTTCTGCACAGAATCATTAACCTGTTTTTATTCGATAAAATGTGCAATCTACCGGATCTGTATGTAGTTTGTCACAAAAAAATGGTTTTAAACATAGAATAATATTATTTTAATTTAGTTTTATGATAATTCTTATTTTATTTTACATTTGTAAGTATTGTTATGTACATATGAATGTATTTGACATCCTTATGGGGGAACAATTGCCAAATGTTAGTATCAAATTGTCATATGTTTTTGGTGAATAGTCATTTCACAACAGAAATTGACCTATGAAACAGCAATTTTTTAAAGTTTTTTTTGTAGCTGTGTGTAATATGCACCCCCTAATTATGCTTGTTATTTTTAAGAAAAAAATGCATATTATACATGGGGAATTATGGTAATCCCATTTCTATGAGTGAATTGATTTTCTGCCCTTAACCAATTGAGAGGATGTCATTCAGCAGACTTTCCCAAAGTTGGCTCTGCAGGAATCCTGCCACTCTTTCTGTTGCTTCATTCTCTAATGAGGATCATACCAAAAAGAACACTATTTTTCAACACAAACCCTGACATGCCAAAAAATGGATAAATAAATAAATTGCTAAAATCTTTATACTTTTCTTTAAGAAATTGATTAATAAATGTATTTGTATCATATTTAATGGATACTATTCTGTAGGTATCAACAAAATATGTGTATGCAGTTATGATAGAAGCAAAAAAAATGGTGCTACTCCTAGTTTTTTAAAATCTACCAAAAATCAGGGAATTATCTGATTTAAATGGAATAAATATTTTTATTCATTAATGAAAAAATTCTATGTTGAACAGGTTATTTTTTGCCCAAAATCTGAAAGTTTTGATAAAATATTCCACAAAAGACATTTTCTGGGAAATGACATTTTCATTACATGCACCTGCTAAAGCTAAGTATAAAAATAGGTTAAATGCGGAGAATGACATAGAATTACATCAATAATGCCGAACTTTGAAAAGCTTTGCACCTCAATAAAAAAAAAAAACTTCACTTTTGTTAAGTTCCACTTTTTATGAGTCATGTTAAAAATATATATATATATATATATATATTTTTTTTTTTTTTCTCTCGTGTATTTCTAAAGATTTAATTTTTAGGATCCACAAAAAACCCTTTATTCTGCTTAAGGGTTCCCCATCACCAAAAAGTTTGGAAAGTGTTATAGTGGAACACACCTATAGTTAATAGACTCTCCCACCTATAATAAGTAGGAGTAGTAAGAGTAACGAGGGAGTCGCTCAGTGGGTCGGTCAGTCAGTCGATGCTGGACGACCGTTAGTCAGATACTAAAGTATCAGCGACCACAACTAGATTACTCTGTGTCATACCTATTATATGAAGATCCTAACGTTTTGTACGTCAAACCTATTTTAGGACCAACTTAGTACAAATACAAGCCTCCATGGTGAAATCACTCCATAACAGAAAGACACAATCTGATGCAATAGATCCTATCTTATGATTTCTAACATAACATTTAAAATGGCTACAAAGTTATTCTAAGCAAGTGAAAGTCTTATTTAAGCTTTAGTGTTGTCAGAAATGAACAACTGCTTTTACAATTATTTCTTTAAATGCAACACAACATTGGTTTTCAATATTTCTCTGAATACTCCAAGAATACTATATCTTCTTGTGTACAATACAACCTCTGTATTTCTGAAGCTAAAATCAGAATAAATTACATCCTTGGTTTGGTTTATTTTGTTTTACGGTATATCAACCTCAATGGGTTATTTAATGCTGACAAAATGTTTTTATTGCTGGTAATATTTTGTTTTGTCAAAAATCTGTGTTTCTGGTAATATTTTTCCTTCAAAATTGTATTGCTGGTAATAGTTAACTATTTGCCTATAGCTAGGATCCTAACAGGTGCTACCACCCCAGGTCAGGGTGGACCTGGGAAAACCAGCAATTAAGAGGTGGTTCCACGCTCATTAAAACCTCCTGATAAGAGTCCTTGCTGCTGGACGTAGTTTATTGTCTTACTCAGGATGTGGATGTAGTTTAACGTCTTATCCAGGACGGAAATTACATCCTTGAGTATGATAAATCCCCTTAGCATAGCCATCATTATGTAAATTATTTTTAAAAAGTTGGGCCATACTATTCATTAATACCTCCATGACATACATATATTTCATTAAAATATTTAATTTTTCACAATATTAAACATTTATCACTCTGCATGTGACTTCATTTGCTGTATGAAAAGTTTATCTTGCCACTGAAGGTGACTCTGATCTCTGAGCAATAGTGTTTGAATTTTATAGTGTTGTCATATCCTTCTATGGCAACAGAAAACAACTTTGAATGGAATTAACAATAAGGATACTGCAATTGATAGGCCTTGAAGTAATATTAATAGTGCAAGGTTGAAATGAAGTGGATGTTTAGCCATTGCATGTTTCTTCTAATTTCTGTTTCAAAACTTATTTTTGGGGAAAAGTGAATTGTTGTAACATTTAATGTTATCAAAATATGACAGATCTTGCATATTCCTTGTTATTAAGTTTTAATCAATTTTGGTGAATATTGTATCTGAGAGACATCAAATACCTTTTATAAACAATTGTCAATTGTAATCAACACCCATCTACTTTGTGGTTTATTATCTATTGTACTAACTGAGGGTATTTGTAATTTTGTTCTTTCAAATAAGAGGTTTTTTAAGCTGAGTAAGAATTTCTGAAACTGTGCACTTGTCTATAATGCCTCTTTTTTTTATTTTTAATTTTCCTTCAAAATCTTTTGTATTATAGACAAGAAAATACATTAAATAAAGAAGGCTGGAGAGCACAACAGCCAAAATGCTATGATAATAAAAGCAAAGATGAGGATAATAGTCTGAATGTAAATAAGAAAATATTCACCAAAAATTAATAATGGCTGAAAATGTTTCATTTAATAAAAGATACATTTTTTTTTTTTTTTTTTTTTTTTTTTTTGCTATAAATAATTTGAATTCCATTCAGGATAAAACGTATTTGTTGAGATAGTGATATTTAATTGTTACAATTACACTTTTTCCACCTACTAACCTAATCAGAAAAATTTTAATGAGACGAAAATTTACAATGATCAATTCTTATTTGAAAATTTGCACTCTCTTGAACTTTAGCCGTCAGTATTTTGAATGCAAAACATGAACCACAGGTTCTCACACCCAAAATTTGAATTCTCGCTCGTTTAAAACTATGTGGTAGTCATCTGGTGATGATTCTTTAAGCTTCAGTCTTCAATGGCACCATTTTTTTTTATGGAAGTGAATGTGATTATTTGATTTGTATGGCTTTTATACAGAGTGGTTAGTATTGAAAATGGATAGGTCGAGATTGTTTGTTATTATCACAGAGTGAGAAAAACTGAGACAAAAAAACGATCAATTTTACTTTTACCCAAAGAAGAAATATGGCCAACATATCGAATACCTTTTGTAAACAATTGTTATTAACACCTGGCTACTTTGTGTTTT